GAAGCGCCAGCGTCAGGCCGCCGACACAGACGGTGCCGCCGTCGATCTGCACGCTGAAGTCCTTGGGGCACCGCTGCGCTGCGTCCACCGCCTAGTCAGGGAGCGACGACTTTGGGTGAGGGCAGCTCTGGGTGTCTCGGGGCAGCCGCCGGTGCAGCGGCATCCTCGAATGCACCGCCCGCGGTGATGTGAAGCGCCGCGCCGACAAGTTCTGCGTAGTTTAGCACCCGCCCGCCGTTGTCGGAGAAGGAGTAGCGCTGGCCGGCCACGTTCGGCGAGGGGAGCAGCCGCGACGCCCGCGACTGCGCCAGCCGTTGCCAGCGCGGAGTTTCGGCGCCGCAAGTGTAGACTGTGATCCACAGCCCATCTCCGAACCGCGCAGCGTCGAAGGGGACGCACGCCGACGATAGGTCGCGCACCGCGGCAACTGCGGCCGCCTCGTTGGGCGGCTCTCGCGCCGAAAACGCGTCAGAGAGCAGCGAGACGAGCGCCGCTTCGCGGGCGGTGACAGGAGATGCTGTGCGCTGAAAGAGCTTTGGGAGGCCGCCGACCCGCAGGGACGTCGCGGGGAGGAGGAGGAGGAGAGCGCTGGCTGGGCGGAGCATACACAAACAACCCATGCTCCGGATCGGCGGCCAGCTCCCTCTTCCCACCGACACTTGAGCTTGAGCACTGGATACTGGATAGGGTCGATTCCGCATGGTACGGGACCCCTCGATCGTCTCGCCCTCCCTCACTGGTGTGTTCATGGGGGGGGGGTCATAACAAACACGGTACACGATCGAGGTGCACGCTGCCGAAGCAGTGTCGTCCCCCCTCTCCCCGACGGCGATGGCGGTGTGACCGATCGAGCTACATACAAGAGGAGCGCAACTCCAGCACACATCCCAGAAAAATAAAAAAATCGTGAGTCTCGCTCGAGTTTCTCCCTTGCTTGTGAGGTGGATATCCTATGGCCGCGTTGGGTAGCGAGGATTGGTGTGACGCGATCCACGCAGGCGTGTTTTCTGACGGCCGACCGTCAGTGCACGGAGTTGCCCCTTCTCCGACTGCCCCGGCTAGTTCCCGAGGTCGTCGGGTGTGACCCCTGCGTCCCCCGAGACCTAGCGCGGGTGGGTTGGAGTGGGCTCGCTGCAAGGAAGGGCTGTGTAAGAAGCCGATCCCCGTAGTCCGCCCACAGGTGATTTGTTAAATTCTTCCGCCTGTGTCGAACCTGAGAGAGTTCTTCCGCCGACGCAGGCAGTGGCGAGGGGGCCGCTGCTGCGGGCGGGCGGAAGGCACCGCGGCGCCGTCGAGGGCGGCGCCGTGGCGCCAAGGACCACAAAGGAGAGTTTGAGAATGTGCCCGACACCGAGGCGGCGAACCACGGAACGACGCCCCCCCCTGCCATCTCTGGTGGCTCTGGAGGCTCCGCAGAGGCGGAGCCCCCTGGGGGGCCTCGTCCCACGTATCCTTGCGGCGTAACCATCACCTCGGCTACAACGGCACAGGTCTCCTCTCCTTCTTCCTCTTGGCCGTGCGGCCCCGACTCGGAGCTGCTGCCATTTGAGCTCACTGAATAGTCTCGGCGCGCGCGGCTCAGCCGGCGCCGCTTTCGAGGTTGGAGGAGCTGGGAGACGAGGTACGGGTCGAGGGGGCTCGTGTGCGGGCGCTCGAGTTCAAGGCAAAGGAGGCTTTTCTGGCGCGGAGCGGACTTAGCGGCCAGGCGTTGGAGCTTGGAGGCCGAGGAGATGCGGTTGATGCGGCTGAGGGAGGGGGCGAGCCTGCTCCGCAGGACGCCTGCCACGGCCACGCCCCTCGGGGCGAAGAAGGCGGGCAAGCGTGCCGCGGAGGCGGAGCGCAGGGCGATTGCGCTTGAGAAGGAGGTGTGTGTGGGTTGACAGGGAGTGCCGGGGTGGGCGTCGTAAGGGTGAGGGCGATTGCCGCCCTCCCCCCTTCGCCCACCTCGACGCCTTCGTGTAGGCACCCCCGCGGCTGTGCCTCTTTTGGTACCGTGGCGTACCTGTGTCGAACCTGTGTAAATAAATAAATAAATAAATAAAACGGGCACGCCAAACGAGGGGTGGGAGAAGGACAGGGTCCCCACCTGCACGAGCAGGATCTTGTAAGGACGATCAGGGACACAGGGGAACGGGAGCGGGGAGCGCATCGCGACACGGAGGGGGGCTGGGCAGGGTTCACCCACACGACAGGGTCCCAGGGATTCCTCTCTCGTATAGGACAGGTTGCACCCGGCGGCACGGGGGCAGGCGCGGGCCTCCTACTGGTTGCGCTCTCCTAGTTCTCCTGCTCCTGACAAGGGACAGCGACAGGCTCGCAGCACGGTGGACTCCCTATTCCACTGGCGATCTCTCTCGACTAGCGACCTTCCTCCGGCTTCTCACCAGCAGTCTCTCACTACCACGGGCACACTGACAGAGGCGGCCAAAAGGCTCAAGTGGGTGGCAGGGCGGTGATAGGAGTCTCCCACTCTGTGGGCTTCGCTAGAGGTGCGGCCCCTGCGCGTGTCCTCGCCCTTGAAGGGGAAGGGGAAGGGGCTGTGTGTGTGTGTGTGTGTGTGTGTGTGTGTGTGTGTGTGTGTGTGTGTGTGTGTGTGTGTGTGTGTGTGTGTGTGCCTGCGGGCGCTGTGCGAGCCGCCCTGAACGACCACAATGTTGAGCGCGCTCGAGCACCGAAGCACCGCGAGCGCCGGCGAGCACCACCGCCCCGCGCCTTGGCGTGGGTCGGTAGTACACGATGCGGCGCCCAGCATGCTCTCTATCATGCGTCGCACCCGCAGTGGCCGAGCCGACCGCCGCTCGAACTGGCGCCGAGTGGCTCCCAGATCGAGCGCGGCAGGCTCAGTCGCACCGTCGCGGGGCGAACGCGAACCGAGCCGTCGCCGTTCGCCGCAGCCGCCAGCCGCCAGCCGTCAGCCGTACAGCCGTACAGCCGTCAGCCGTCAGCTCGCAGTCGCTGTGTGCTGAGAGAGAGTTCGTTCGTTGAATTCTTCCGCCGAAGCCACAAAGATTACATGTACCCGCGTTAGGGGCCGGCGTCGCCGCCGGAAGAAGGCGAAAGAAGCAAGAAGCCTCGTGCAGCTTTCATGTTTGGCAGCTATTTTAGCGGGCAGGCGACGACGGCGGAGCGGCTGGCCTACGTCCTGCTCGCGCTGGCCGTGCTCGCCTATAGCTCTGTGACCATCGGCGCAGAGCTTGGACTGATCGCGCCGAGGTGCAGCGACCTCCAAGAAAATTCGTTGACAATCTTGGCCTCCACCGCTGAAGATTTCGCCAGGACACACCGTAGTTGATGCGCGCGTCCGCCTCACACTGCTCTCGTCTCGCGTCTGCGAGGTGCGACCTGCCATCTCGCGCCGAGCCTCTCAAGTATGGCAACCCGGACTATGTGGAGGTGTCGCCTCCGAGATTCACGTGGCGCCACTAATTCCGTACCCGTCTCGCCAGCCACACAGCTCCGCGCGCGCGTCCATCCCGCCATACCCACGATTCGTCACCAGGACCCATGCAAGGGTGTGCGTCACTGGAGCCTCCTCGGCTTCACGACCTGGGAGTGCTCCATCTGTGCGCGCATCCTCATCTCGATTGCCGTCGGGACGGTCATCGGGTGCGCCTTCGCTCGGCCCCGTCCCCGTCGAGCGCCGCCCGCGCGGCTGCTTTCCTCGCCGCCGCCCGCACTGCCTGCTGTCAGCGCCGCCGCGCCGCCCTCGCTACCCCTGCAGGTGGGAGCGCTCGCTCCGCGGCCACACGGCGACAGGCATGCGCACCATGTCGGTACTGTGTCTCGGCGCCTGCTGCTACTGCATCTGCTCGCTCTTCTCCTTTCTCGACGGCCCCATGGCGTGGGACGCCTCCCGATCCTCGGCCGCCATCCCGACTGGAGTCGGCTTCCTCGGTGCGACAGAACCCCGCCGCCCGCCCCACCGCCCACCGCACATTCACGAGGCGCGCACGGCCCGCCCACGATGCGTCCGTGGCATGACCAGGCGGTGCGACCATCTGGAAGGGCAAGAGCTCGTCTTCTGGAAGGGAGGTGTGTTCGTAGACGCCACCAGAAGCTCCCGGTGCGTCCTTCGAGGGCCCCCCGGCTCGGGCGCGGTGTCCGTCAGTACCCCTACCCTCGATTTGCTACCTCCCCCCTCGCGGTCGGCCCTGTCCCCTCCACAGGAGATCCACGGCCTCACCGCCGCGATCCTCGTCTGGCTGACTGCCGCCGTTGGCAACGCGATTGGAGGCGCCATGTACGTGCCCGCCCTATTCACCACCGCCGCCGCCATCGTCATCCTCAACACGAATGCCATCGAGTTCATCACGGCCACCGCCGCGTCGCGCAAGCGGAGCCGCGACTCCAACTCGACCCTGCAGCGCGAGCACCATAGCGCACTCACGTTGCTCGCGTTGAACCTCATCACACTCACGGCGTTACGCCCTCCTGGCGTCCGTACCTCGGCTGAGTCTCGGCTGTATCTCGGTCACATCTGCGCTGTAGGCGCTCGCCTACGCCCTCCTCTCGCTCGCCGCCCCCTACCTCGCGCCGCCCTGCGACCGGACGGTCGACCCGTCAAAATACACGGCAAAGTACTCGAACCCAGTGTACGCCGCCACGTACGACCCGTGCTTCCGCGACCGCCACGCGATCCTAGGAGGGCTTTCGAGGTTCGAGGCGGACCTCTGCGTCCGCCTGAGCGTTTCCGTTCTCCTCGGCGCGATTATCGGCTACGAGCGGAAGCGGAGCGATCGCGGCGTCGGAACCCAGAACCTAGATGCCGCGCGAAC